GTAAACCCCTATGTAGCGAGTTTGGGGGTATTAACACAAGAAACGCCATTTTGTTTGGCTCTAGTCTCTGAAATTCCTACTAGATTTTTTTCATTAATGTTACAGACAGTGGCTAGTGGTTTGAAAATATTTTGGGGTGACAGATTACTTTATAAAACACTAATCTTACATTAATGTGCCATAAATCAGTATTTCTCAGTATATCCAATAATAAAAGCTAAATTTTAACAGAGAAGATAATGGTTGCAAATCAACTACAACATAGTTTTGGATGTAGTGAAACAAGGTAAATGGAATTACATTTTTCAAAGTTTCTCATTATGATATTAAACTGAGAAGTTTCCCTTGAATTGAAAGCTTTGTGTGTGTTGACTGCTCCATGGATTTAGTGGGTGTGTGTAGGAAATGTGTCCAAAATGCAGCTCCACACTGCTCCTTTTGTTTCCTGACGGATCTATCTAGACTCTTTACGCTAGGGCACCAACTACCTTTTAATAGCAACTTTAGACCATAACGAAATAGGAGACTAAACTGAAAGTAAACATCAAGAGGATAAAAGGCAAAGGACTGGCAAATTTCAGTGCATGACTCTCAGGTGTCCGGTTTACAACTGTTTTTCTACTATAACAGTATAAAAAGTGTAATTAATATGCTGCTTTATCAGTGGATTTTAGGATACGTACTTTCGCTGGCACACAATTTTGTAGAAGATTCTGTTGCCTGTAAAGAAAGTTTTTTCATTTAGTTAGTAGTTAGGATGAATAATTTACGAAAAAGTTTCCAAAATTTTAGTCATCTAGTCAGTTTATTTCTTTTATATCAGAGAATTTCTCTACAGAAAATTTTTTTTAAATGTGGTGGAACTGTGTGGTCTTAAATGGTAATCTTGCTCCCCCCTCTCATGTTGAGAAAAATAAATACAAATGTCACTAAAATAGATTGTCAACAAAGGTTGAGGAATGAAAAGCACCTGGGCTTAAAAATATATCTTCCAAGTGTCTAAAGCTTCATTAGAAATTATTATTTTGTTTTGTTTTGTTTTGTTTTGTTTTTGGTACCGGGGATTGAACTCGGGACCTTGCACTTGTGAGGCAGGCTCCAGAACCACTGAGCTACATCCCTGGGCCTAGAGATATTATTTTGGATTACACTGTGTATACCTTGTAGGAAGGGGATTATTGATTAGATCATTAATTTTATATGCTAAACTCTTTTACCATCCTTAAGAAGCCAATAATCCCAAAAGGCATGAAGATGGTAAATCAGCTTTAAAGAGAAGAAAGCAAAACATTCAACTCATGGGAAGCAATGTGGAAAAGAGGCATGAAGATCCTGAATGTAGGCAAAGTGAGGAGAAGGAGACAAAAAAGGAGGAAGACAAACGCTGCCTGTAGCTACAAATTGAACTTAGTTCCAAGTTTTCAAAAAATGAAGTTTCCCTAATTCCAAGTAGAACTACAGGAAGAGAAGATTCCACGTAGCCATGTGCTATGAATAGGACTTGTGTGCAATTATTAAAATACTAACTCATGATTGCACACTAATTTTAAGATACTTACATATTTGAGACAATAGGGGCTGCAGCATGAGTTTGAGGTCCTATATAAGATGAAAAAGAAAATTTAAATTTCTACACATCCTTGATTTACCAATTAGGTCAAGTTTAATAGGTAATTCATTTCTCTTGCTAAGCAGTAACAACATCCTCCAGTAGGTCTTTATTTTCTCTTTTGACTGACTTGTTTACAAGCCTTTAGGAATTCCCCATAGTAAAAGCCATAGGTAGGCAAAAAATACACAGTAAGGGGCCCGGGATTTAGCTCAGTGGTTCCGCTGCCTGCCTCACAAGCATAAGGTCCCGAGTTTGATCTCCAGTAGCAAAAAAACCCCACAGTAAGGCCTGACATCCTCGTCCTCCTGCACAGGATCTCCCTGGCTAGTGTTTCATATGTATTCTGTGGTCAGGAACAGAGTTGCTTGCAATCTGCTGAATATATCACATTTGCTAGGCCCTGGGCCATCCCTTTGGCCACTTCCTTTGCAGCACTCTGCATTCTCTTTTAAGTTTTTAGTTCCCATTAAGCTTATGTGAACTACTCTTGAGAGCCATTCTTGAAATCTATCTAAATAAGTATCCTCACAAAATACTCTCAGTATATTTGTAAAATTCTTCATTTTACTATAATTACGTTTAATCTTATATATTCCCAATGATGATATGATTTCACCCCTCCATCGGCACACAAGGTGATGAGTACTCTTAATGATTTTGTAATTTGATATATGTGTTCACTGTAAGATAGTCAAGCCAATTATTTTATCTACCTCTTCACATAGTTACACTTCATGAGTGTGTGTGTGTGTGCGTGTGTGTGCGCGTGCTCAGAACACTTAAGGTCTATCTTGACACTTTCAAGTATATAATGAAATATTTTTAACTACAGTCACATTGTACAGTCACACTACTGAATACAACAGGTATAAGGATATGAGTACAAAACTTGAACAATTTTTTTTCCTGAATTTTGGTTGCCAGCATTGTTA